TTTTTTTTTTTTTTTTTTTTGATACATTCATTTACAATACTAACTAACAATACTTACAACACCAACAATTTTTACGATATTACTTGCAGTACTGACATTACTTACAAGTTTACAATACTGCGTTTTATTACCACTTTGGCGGGCATTGTGGCACATTTTGCTGGCTGAAAGGGAGACTTTGGGGGTCGGTTAAAATGTATTTTAGCCCGCTGAAATAAACCAATGAAAAGTCAGAATCAAACAATCGTAGGATTTAATTTCACCGCTTACAAATAAACTTTATTGAACTTTCCTTTCATGTCTTCTACAATTTTTGGAAACTCAAATGGCAAGATTTTGTAATTCCTAGCCAGATTCGCGTGATGTATTGTTCATTTAGGGAAAATAAAAGCCATTTAACTTGAAAACGCTCGCGTAATTGTTCAGATTGTTTTGTTGTCATTTCTTTTTTTTAGTTTTTATTTTCTCAGTGCCCTCCAAAGTGATAATAATAGTAATAGAAATTATGTTCTTGGGCATAAATATGTTTTGGGCCCTTTTCAGAGCCTATTTTAACCCTCGCCTAGTGGCTGGGGCTAAAATGAGTCTTAGTCGGGCCCAAAACATATTTTTGCCTAAGAACATAAACTCTATTGTCTCATTGCTTACTACACTTAACATGACTTGAATAATACTAATGATACTTACAATACTAACATAACTTACCGTACATACTAGCATTTCTGTTTTTCATAACATTTTATACCATAAACAAAATCAACCAACTTATTACCAAATTCTACCACTAGCTTACAGTTGTGCTTACTTACAGTTACACTGTTCANCTTTTACACGGTGTCCCTTGTTGAATGGATAGAACGTTGAGACAATATTCTGCGTGAGGTAGTCGGAAAAACCCGCTAAACTCAAGCTAAGGAACAACAATGCATCAAATGGATACGAATTGCTAGCTCGCGTAATTTTACTTGAAGCACGATCTTTTACTTGCTTATGTCTCATAGTCTGTTTTACTTGTTTGATCTGCAGTGAAAACAAAATTCCTGACAAAGCCAAAAAAATCTATCACCACTTACAAGAACTGGGACACAACTCTCAAATGCGACATCTTTGGCTACCCCTACCCTGTGATCACGTGGTCAATATCACTCAAACAACTTCCGGTCAACAGACATGTTATTGATGGTGGCACACTTACGATAAAAAACACGATAGAGGACGATGGCGGTGCTTATGTTTGCGAGGGAGCTAATGAACTTGGAAAAGTGATGGCAGTTACATGGGTCGTTGTGACCGATGAAGGTGAGCCAGTAAACCCAACCACTCCCTCAACCCTCCAAAAGAAACAAGAAAAAGAAAAGTGTTTTTAATCAAAGCTTTGTTGTAATGATATTATTGTTATAATTTCTTTTTCAAGTGAATCCTTACATTGTGTCAAGTCCTCCCAGTAAAATTCAAGTGCGAAATGTTGGCAATTATGTGAAGTTACATTGTTCCGGTGGTGGCTTGCCACTGCCTGACGTCAAATGGTTCAAGGATGGACGTTCTGTTCCTTCCACGGCAATCCGTAACGGAACAGACTTAATTAAGAGTGAATTTGTCATTAATCGCTTCAGGCCGAGTGACGCTGGGATCTACAAGTGTCGATTTTACAATGACGAGAATGGAACAGCGGAAGCCAGCACAACCATAAGTATCGCTTTGTTTTGNGGTGTCCCGTTAAACGGTCAAAAGCTTGGCTCGCGACACTGGACTGGTAAATCCGTCTCGTTCATTTGCAATCCGGGATATCGCTTGATCGGACCGGCCACAAGAGTGTGTCTGTCTTCCGGCAACTGGAGTGGTATACAACCTTCATGTAAGTGGCTTAATCCCATATATTACCTGGCGTAAGCTACAGTAACGTCGTTGGCCATCAATAGTACATATACGGAGAGAGAAGAAAACTTTAAAATATAATGTTATATTTAAGGTTATTAGTATCTCAGTTATGCATTTGAAAAACAACGCAACCAAGAACGTAGGTAAACAAATAAATAAATAAATGATAAGAAATCCAATCTTTTCTTTTTAAGGTGTTGTCCTGTTCTCGTCTTAATCTGATTACTCTCGCTGCCTTCGAATTTAGGTCGCATAGCCTGCCCGCCCTTAAAAAATCTGAAGAATGGCTTCATCCACGTACAGCAGTATTGGGAAGGGAGACGCGTTTTGCTTACTTGTGATCCAGGATACTGGCTAAAAGGATCATCGGAACGTCACTGTCTAGCGAATGGTAGTTGGTCAGGAGTTCAACCTTCATGTATTGGTAAGAGGCATTTTTAAAAAGCAACTTGATCTATTCTTGTAAGCACCCTCGGAGAGCCTAATACATTTAACAACTGGAGTATGAGCTCGACATTTCTATAGCGCGATAGTTCACGAGGGCGCAACACGGGTCAACTATCCTCTTCGTAGACACTTCGAAAACGCAAAGATGGAGCTTCCATTTTGACGGTTTCAACCCCTCGCTGAGTTCAATTATGAACGTTTTCTAGCTCCCTTGCTCTAATAGAATAAGGACCCCTTTACTGAGGAATTTCAATTTTGATCGACCCCATTCCCTCCTTTTAAAGGACTGGGATAGTATTAAGCCCCTAAATGGTATTTGGACCT